TCTCCTAAGTTGGAGAAAGGTGCGTTCAAGCTCCGGATCCAACGGCAGTAGACCTCTCGATTGGCTACGGGTCATGCACTATCTGCACACAGTCAAGCAATGCAAACCCGTGAAGGCACAAGTGGGAAAGAACAAACAGTCAATGCGAAAATGAAATTTCTAAAGTAACAGAAATCACTTTTCTTCAACAACCTAGCCGTCCCCGGCAACGGCGCCAAAAACTTGACTCACTCCTACTGTCACTCTAGAAAATGGCCAAGTGTAACCACTTCCTAAAGCGTAGTATAGCGGGTTTGGGTTTTAATGTCAACCCGGGTCCTAGATGTGATGACTACTCAGCGAATTCTTATTATTTAGCGGTGAAACTTTAGTGCAGGTCCAAACTAACAAACAAGCAAAGCAAACAAAGAGGTTGTTTTCAAGTCAAGAGAGGTCACCCGGATATGGTTCCCCCTAGACTGCAGTTAAGCCGGATTGCAATTTACCAAGTTCAATTTCTATTATAGTTATACTACGGGAGGTTCTTAAACAGCCTGAAGTCTCGACTAAAGGTCTCCAGACCCTCTCAATCTGAGTCTCCAGCGAGCGATTAACCTCCACCGGAGTAAACAGATTGAGGCCCTAATGAACAAAACCTCCACTACCGAAGTGAATTCGGTACAGAATAGTGAGTTGGCTCCTCGACTAAAGTCACCAACTCCCTACCTTCAATCAAGGATGCTCTATCAACCTAGGCAAATATTCTCTTTCTAGGTTAAAGCAGAAACAACATGAATTTGATCAGGATTCATGCCATTCAACAATTCAAACCTCAATTGAATATAATCATATCAAAGAATCTGTACTTAGGTTCATACAATCAGACCTAACATACAAATCTAGAGTTCTCCATACCCAGATGAATGAGGAAGTTACTCCATGGAGAGAGAAGCAAAAGCAAGCTCATATGCAGAAATCATGCTGTGAAGGATGAGAATCTGCTCCTGGTCTTCAATCGGCACTTCTCCAAGTGTAAGCCGAGCTCCAATGGTGATGAAGATCAAGCTAGGGCACTTGGGAACTCTGGTTCGTCGCTCTCTCTCTCTAGGAATCGCTTTCTTTCTCTAAAACTCGGAACCCCTCTATTTTGGCCTTCTTTTCCCTTAAGAAGCTGTCTGTCGCGATCCTTGGCCTGAATACCCGGTCGGGTATTTTGGGCTGAGACCGGGCATTTTCAAAACGCAGCGTCGGGGTTAGGGGAAAATCCCCAGTCTACTCTAATAATCCCCGACCGGGGATTTATGCTTCATGATAGACCGATAATTACACATGTTTTCACCCCTATTCTGAAGCCGTTTGTGATGTGGAATCTCGTGTTTTAAGCCGATTTCACGCTAGGTTGTGTGTTTATGTCATATTTCAGGTCCAGCGTTGGAATCGAGGCGGAGAAACGAGTTCTGGGTCGAAAGGAGCCGAGTTGGGACTAAGGGGGCTGCAGGAGGAAAATACCCGGTCAGGTGGCCATATACCCGACCGGGTATTAACCAATTTTGGGCGCCCGAGAAGCAGAGAGGGGCCCGGGCACAGCAGTTAAATCCCCGGTCGGGGATTTTGGTGGTAGACCGGGGATTTTCACCTATTGTGGAACGGTGCGCTTCAATTATACCCGGTCGAGACCCAAAATACCCGACCGGGTATTTCGACCGGGTATCGCGAGGGCAGCTGATAAAAGCCGATTTTGTGCGTTTTTGCAAGAGAGAGCTGGGTTTTGGATCCCAAACACCCAAGGGACGAACCAAAGAGAGAGAGGGCGATTTGAGGGCATTCTCGGAGTGGAATTGGAGGATTTCTTCGCCTTGGAAGCTCGAGGAACAAGCCCGGACTTGAAGACTGATCATCTGAAGATTCTTACTGCAGTCTCTCTCTTCTCTATGGAGTAACTTCCCTTCACTTAGGTTTTGAGGAACCCTAGCTATGTTTGTTTGATTGGATGATTGTATGAGTACTCTGACTTGATAATCTTGAGTTCATATTCAATCTATGCATGTTTTCACGATTCAATTCTGCTTTAGTCGAGATTATTGATTCTGCTTTGATCCTATGAGAGCGAATACCTGATTAGGTCAATAGAGCACCATAGATTGATAGTAGTGGATCGATTGCTTTAGTCGAGGGTTGATTCACTGCTTTGTATCGATTGAGAACCTCATTCGATAGAGGGAATCTAGTTCAGAACGCCTTGATCAGTTGTTCTAGAGAAGGATACGTCCCTCTAGGCAATTGACTCAAGAGGGCCTTGTTCCTTTAGTCGAGACTCAAGGTCTAGTCAAGGATTCTCCGCATTGTGAATGAAAGTGAAACACGTTAGAGATCATCAATCGTTAATCTGGCTAGTGGCTAGGGGGAATCATACCTAAGTGAGTTCCCAACCTGTAATTAGATTAACTTTAACTGTAGTTTGCTAGAGTAGTTTTAGTTCTTTCAACTTAAGCTGTTTTGCTAGATAACGAACTGAAGCTGAGTAATAGTAACTCTAGAGACCCGTGGATTCGATATTTATTACTTGAGCCACTATACTGCAGTCCCTTTCATTGGTTACACTTGGCCATTGTTAGGAGTTGTGTTTTAGCGAGTCAAGTTTTTGGCGCCGTTGCCGGGGAATTTCTAGATTATTAGGAAAGGCAGAAGTTTGTTACTTTAGCGTTTTTCTTTTGTTTTCCACCCTTGCTTTTCACTTGGGTGTTTTTGTTTTTGTTGGTGCAGATCTGAATCATGGATCCTCATGGCTTCTCCAACCATTGGGGGTATCCACCACCATCCGAGTGGTATTACCCCGAGACACCCTGGAGCAATCAAGGAGGAGAAGACTATGGATCCGGGTTCCAGTACCAACCCCCTTTCTATGGAGAACAATCTGACCCCTGGGCATATCAAGAACAATCTCATTACCAAGAAGACTTTCTCCCACAACCAGAAGGGCCATCAGCGTTGGAGTTACCCATGGCGGCCTTCACGGGCCATTCTGCAGAGCCATGCTACACCCCACAGCCAGATCCAAACTATGAACTGAAGCTTCTCCTGGAGCAGTTTGTTCGGGACTCCGAGAGACGCAATCGCAGAATGGATCTTCACATCCAAGCCCTCCCCTTTTCCGATCCCTCATATCTCCGTGATATGGAGGAGGCTGTTCAACGCTCAGCGAAGCAAACAGAGTGGGTTGAGCAAGTTTGTGCACAACTTGCTCAAGATCACCCTTCTGCTACCATACAAGAAGAGGACGAGGAAGAAGAAGGCTACAAGGACATTGTGGAGCACACAGAAGTTGTCACGGAGAGCTCCCGTGATGATCATGATCAGGAATGTCCTGTCGTAGCCGACCACCCTTTCCCACATCCCACACTGCGCTTTGAAGAGGTGGGCATGAGTGAGGAGATGCAAGAAGATCTCATGAAAGAAATTGCTTGGCAACTTGCTCTCCAATCCGTGCTAGAAGAAGAAGAGCAAGAAAGGGTGCAGAAAGAGGTTGTGGAGGATGACGAAAGCAAAGCAGGAGGAGTTCTTGATCATTTCCCAGGGGTGATACCACATGAAGAAGGAAGGGAGGTTGAAGGAGCAATTGGCGTCCAGGCCGAGGACGAAGTTGAGGTGGAAGAGGCTTGCACCGGCCATGAGTTACATGTGATATCTCCACCAAACTTCGAGGAATTGCTCAGCAAGGACCCATTTGCAGTGTCTCTTTGCCAGACCAAGGCCACATCGACATCGGTCCCTCTTGGTGGACGCGATGGTGGCCAATCAATGCTGTCTTATCTGGTTTGGGGCAATGAGATGAGAGAAGAGAAGAAGAGGTCTCGAGGGTGGAGACTTCATCTGCATCAAGTACACGAGCCTTCATCACCTGCCGCACCACATGCTCGTGACTTGAGACTCCACCTCATCGACGAGAACCTCAACTTCAAGGAGGTTCTAGCATGGACCGAAACTTAGGAGCCATCGTCCGGCTCACGACGTGAAAGAAGCGCTTGTTGGGAGGCAACCCAACCAGTCGGTTTGCATTTCTTTCCCTATTTCTCTTCGGTTGAGTCAGTTTTGTTCTTTGATTTTAGAGTCCATAACTCAACCTTTGTGAGATTTTGTGTGGTGTTTGTGTTTCGACCACTCTCTCCTCATGGAATGCACCGCCTGCCTCGTCCACCATCATTCACCCTTGACCCGGTAACATCGTTCCCCTTATCTCTCCCTCTACTCCATTGAGGGCAATGTCGTGCTTAAGTGTGGGGGGATGTTTTGTATCGGTTGGAATAATTACGATGGTGCTTGGAGCCTAGTCCGCTGTCCGAATCTTACGATTTGAGGGCTCCAAGTACTGCTGTTTGATCATATTGGCACTGTGTTTTGATAGATGAGTTGATTGGTTTTTGAATTAATGCATGCCAACTTGTTTGCGACTAGGACAACCTATGATGAGGACTGAGATGTGCAGTAGAACGATGTAGGGGTTCAGTTTTTCAACTGTTTGCTTGCCAACTGTGACTTGATCTGACTTGATCTGATTACTTGTTCTTGACATTCGTTTATGCATCTAGTTCAGGGTATCAGAATGTGAGATAGAGCATATAGGTAGCCATGTGAGATTTGAGCCTGCTCGTTTCTTTCTTGTGCGATAGATCCCTCTTCCATGATGTGTAGCATTCACGTTGTCACTAGCTAAGATGATGGGGGCATAGGATTAGCCCACGCCCGAAACTGACTGTCCTGATATGTCATATCCCCTAGTCAGCCCCTTTGAGCCGTGTGTTATCCTTTCTTTTGGTCTATAATGGAAAAAATCACCCTTGTTGCATCTTTTAGAAGGTTCCACAGAGTGGTTTTATGTATTCTCTGCTGTTTCTGCTAAAGTCTATGTGAGTGTTGGAGGTAGTGCTTAAAAGTTGGGCAAGTGTTTGAAATTTATGCAGAAGTGGTGGCTCTCTTAAGAAATGAAAGAAAAATAAAGAAAAAAATTGAAAGCAAAAGAGAGCCACTACTAAAAATCTGAATAATGCCCAGTAAGTAGTGTTTCTTAGCAGTCTGGCTTGGAAATGCTGTTGATTATGCCTCCTTCGCTTTTGTGCTCTTAAGATATTGAGTAATGCAGAATAGCAGAAAGAAAATGCAGGGTTGTTTGACTGTGATTGTGTGTTTGGAAAATGTGGAACCTTTTTGCTATGAATACTTCCACCACCTAAAAGGCCTTTTCCCCATGTCCAAGACCCTAGCCAGTCATTTGAACCTGTGTCTAAGACCTCCTGATTAGTTAGTGGTGACACCCCATATGTGAACTCTAGCATTTAGAGGCTGCCATCATGGTGAAGAGATGATAGGGATTGAGAGAAATAGCATGCGCATCTTTCGCATCAAAATTGTCCTGACCCCACTGGTCGAGAGTGAGTGATTCATTTTCATTTTCTATATGCTCTTGTACCCCGGTGAGGACCTAGATTGCTCGGTCTCTATTCTGATATTTTGAGTTGGATGCATGAGTTGACTGTTTTGAGTAAGTGGTTGAATCAAGTCTAGGTTGGCCAGTGAACAGACGGGAGACTCTTCCTTTACTCGATTTGCTGCACTCGAATGTCCTTTGTGGTGGTTGTCCAGGTTGTTATTGAGGTTGTGCATGTATTGATGTTTGAAAACCAGTGCGATTCACGTGTTTTGTGCCTTTATGACTTGTCCCCAATGTTGGTTGATTGAAATATTTAAGCTTACCTAGTGTCTGACTTGGTTTGCTTGGGGACAAGCAAACGGTTAAGTGTGGGGGAGTTTGATAGACCGATAATTACACATGTTTTCACCCCTATTCTGAAGCCGTTTGTGATGTGGAATCTCGTGTTTTAAGCCGATTTCACGCTAGGTTGTGTGTTTATGTCATATTTCAGGTCCCGGCGTTGGAATCGAGGCGGAGAAACGAGTTCTGGGTCGAAAGGAGCCGAGTTGGGACTAAGGGGGCTGCAGGAGGAAAATACCCGGTCAGGTGGCCATATACCCGACCGGGTATTAACCAATTTTGGGCGCCCGAGAAGCAGAGAGGGGCCCGGGCACAGCAGTTAAATCCCCGGTCGGGGATTTTGGTGGTAGACCGGGGATTTTCACCTATTGTGGAACGGTGCGCTTCAATTATACCCGGTCGAGACCCAAAATACCCGACCGGGTATTTCGACCGGGTATCGCGAGGGCAGCTGATAAAAGCCGATTTTGTGCGTTTTTGCAAGAGAGAGCTGGGTTTTGGATCCCAAACACCCAAGGGACGAACCAAAGAGAGAGAGGGCGATTTGAGGGCATTCTCGGAGTGGAATTGGAGGATTTCTTCGCCTTGGAAGCTCGAGGAACAAGCCCGGACTTGAAGACTGATCATCTGAAGATTCTTACTGCAGTCTCTCTCTTCTCTATGGAGTAACTTCCCTTCACTTAGGTTTTGAGGAACCCTAGCTATGTTTGTTTGATTGGATGATTGTATGAGTACTCTGACTTGATAATCTTGAGTTCATATTCAATCTATGCATGTTTTCACGATTCAATTCTGCTTTAGTCGAGATTATTGATTCTGCTTTGATCCTATGAGAGCGAATACCTGATTAGGTCAATAGAGCACCATAGATTGATAGTAGTGGATCGATTGCTTTAGTCGAGGGTTGATTCACTGCTTTGTATCGATTGAGAACCTCATTCGATAGAGGGAATCTAGTTCAGAACGCCTTGATCAGTTGTTCTAGAGAAGGATACGTCCCTCTAGGCAATTGACTCAAGAGGGCCTTGTTCCTTTAGTCGAGACTCAAGGTCTAGTCAAGGATTCTCCGCATTGTGAATGAAAGTGAAACACGTTAGAGATCATCAATCGTTAATCTGGCTAGTGGCTAGGGGGAATCATACCTAAGTGAGTTCCCAACCTGTAATTAGATTAACTTTAACTGTAGTTTGCTAGAGTAGTTTTAGTTCTTTCAACTTAAGCTGTTTTGCTAGATAACGAACTGAAGCTGAGTAATAGTAACTCTAGAGACCCGTGGATTCGATATTTATTACTTGAGCCACTATACTGCAGTCCCTTTCATTGGTTACACTTGGCCATTGTTAGGAGTTGTGTTTTAGCGAGTCAAGTTTTTGGCGCCGTTGCCGGGGAATTTCTAGATTATTAGGAAAGGCAGAAGTTTGTTACTTTAGCGTTTTTCTTTTGTTTTCCACCCTTGCTTTTCACTTGGGTGTTTTTGTTTTTGTTGGTGCAGATCTGAATCATGGATCCTCATGGCTTCTCCAACCATTGGGGGTATCCACCACCATCCGAGTGGTATTACCCCGAGACACCCTGGAGCAATCAAGGAGGAGAAGACTATGGATCCGGGTTCCAGTACCAACCCCCTTTCTATGGAGAACAATCTGACCCCTGGGCATATCAAGAACAATCTCATTACCAAGAAGACTTTCTCCCACAACCAGAAGGGCCATCAGCGTTGGAGTTACCCATGGCGGCCTTCACGGGCCATTCTGCAGAGCCATGCTACACCCCACAGCCAGATCCAAACTATGAACTGAAGCTTCTCCTGGAGCAGTTTGTTCGGGACTCCGAGAGACGCAATCGCAGAATGGATCTTCACATCCAAGCCCTCCCCTTTTCCGATCCCTCATATCTCCGTGATATGGAGGAGGCTGTTCAACGCTCAGCGAAGCAAACAGAGTGGGTTGAGCAAGTTTGTGCACAACTTGCTCAAGATCACCCTTCTGCTACCATACAAGAAGAGGACGAGGAAGAAGAAGGCTACAAGGACATTGTGGAGCACACAGAAGTTGTCACGGAGAGCTCCCGTGATGATCATGATCAGGAATGTCCTGTCGTAGCCGACCACCCTTTCCCACATCCCACACTGCGCTTTGAAGAGGTGGGCATGAGTGAGGAGATGCAAGAAGATCTCATGAAAGAAATTGCTTGGCAACTTGCTCTCCAATCCGTGCTAGAAGAAGAAGAGCAAGAAAGGGTGCAGAAAGAGGTTGTGGAGGATGACGAAAGCAAAGCAGGAGGAGTTCTTGATCATTTCCCAGGGGTGATACCACATGAAGAAGGAAGGGAGGTTGAAGGAGCAATTGGCGTCCAGGCCGAGGACGAAGTTGAGGTGGAAGAGGCTTGCACCGGCCATGAGTTACATGTGATATCTCCACCAAACTTCGAGGAATTGCTCAGCAAGGACCCATTTGCAGTGTCTCTTTGCCAGACCAAGGCCACATCGACATCGGTCCCTCTTGGTGGACGCGATGGTGGCCAATCAATGCTGTCTTATCTGGTTTGGGGCAATGAGACGAGAGAAGAGAAGAAGAGGTCTCGAGGGTGGAGACTTCATCTGCATCAAGTACACGAGCCTTCATCACCTGCCGCACCACATGCTCGTGACTTGAGACTCCACCTCATCGACGAGAACCTCAACTTCAAGGAGGTTCTAGCATGGACCGAAACTTAGGAGCCATCGTCCGGCTCACGACGTGAAAGAAGCGCTTGTTGGGAGGCAACCCAACCAGTCGGTTTGCATTTCTTTCCCTATTTCTCTTCGGTTGAGTCAGTTTTGTTCTTTGATTTTAGAGTCCATAACTCAACCTTTGTGAGATTTTGTGTGGTGTTTGTGTTTCGACCACTCTCTCCTCATGGAATGCACTGCCTGCCTCGTCCACCATCATTCACCCTTGACCCGGTAACATCGTTCCCCTTATCTCTCCCTCTACTCCATTGAGGGCAATGTCGTGCTTAAGTGTGGGGGGATGTTTTGTATCGGTTGGAATAATTACGATGGTGCTTGGAGCCTAGTCCGCTGTCCGAATCTTACGATTTGAGGGCTCCAAGTACTGCTGTTTGATCATATTGGCACTGTGTTTTGATAGATGAGTTGATTGGTTTTTGAATTAATGCATGCCAACTTGTTTGCGACTAGGACAACCTATGATGAGGACTGAGATGTGCAGTAGAACGATGTAGGGGTTCAGTTTTTCAACTGTTTGCTTGCCAACTGTGACTTGATCTGACTTGATCTGATTACTTGTTCTTGACATTCGTTTATGCATCTAGTTCAGGGTATCAGAATGTGAGATAGAGCATATAGGTAGCCATGTGAGATTTGAGCCTGCTCGTTTCTTTCTTGTGCGATAGATCCCTCTTCCATGATGTGTAGCATTCACGTTGTCACTAGCTAAGATGATGGGGGCATAGGATTAGCCCACGCCCGAAACTGACTGTCCTGATATGTCATATCCCCTAGTCAGCCCCTTTGAGCCGTGTGTTATCCTTTCTTTTGGTCTATAATGGAAAAAATCACCCTTGTTGCATCTTTTAGAAGGTTCCACAGAGTGGTTTTATGTATTCTCTGCTGTTTCTGCTAAAGTCTATGTGAGTGTTGGAGGTAGTGCTTAAAAGTTGGGCAAGTGTTTGAAATTTATGCAGAAGTGGTGGCTCTCTTAAGAAATGAAAGAAAAATAAAGAAAAAAATTGAAAGCAAAAGAGAGCCACTACTAAAAATCTGAATAATGCCCAGTAAGTAGTGTTTCTTAGCAGTCTGGCTTGGAAATGCTGTTGATTATGCCTCCTTCGCTTTTGTGCTCTTAAGATATTGAGTAATGCAGAATAGCAGAAAGAAAATGCAGGGTTGTTTGACTGTGATTGTGTGTTTGGAAAATGTGGAACCTTTTTGCTATGAATACTTCCACCACCTAAAAGGCCTTTTCCCCATGTCCAAGACCCTAGCCAGTCATTTGAACCTGTGTCTAAGACCTCCTGATTAGTTAGTGGTGACACCCCATATGTGAACTCTAGCATTTAGAGGCTGCCATCATGGTGAAGAGATGATAGGGATTGAGAGAAATAGCATGCGCATCTTTCGCATCAAAATTGTCCTGACCCCACTGGTCGAGAGTGAGTGATTCATTTTCATTTTCTATATGCTCTTGTACCCCGGTGAGGACCTAGATTGCTCGGTCTCTATTCTGATATTTTGAGTTGGATGCATGAGTTGACTGTTTTGAGTAAGTGGTTGAATCAAGTCTAGGTTGGCCAGTGAACAGACGGGAGACTCTTCCTTTACTCGATTTGCTGCACTCGAATGTCCTTTGTGGTGGTTGTCCAGGTTGTTATTGAGGTTGTGCATGTATTGATGTTTGAAAACCAGTGCGATTCACGTGTTTTGTGCCTTTATGACTTGTCCCCAATGTTGGTTGATTGAAATATTTAAGCTTACCTAGTGTCTGACTTGGTTTGCTTGGGGACAAGCAAACGGTTAAGTGTGGGGGAGTTTGATAGACCGATAATTACACATGTTTTCACCCCTATTCTGAAGCCGTTTGTGATGTGGAATCTCGTGTTTTAAGCCGATTTCACGCTAGGTTGTGTGTTTATGTCATATTTCAGGTCCCGGCGTTGGAATCGAGGCGGAGAAACGAGTTCTGGGTCGAAAGGAGCCGAGTTGGGACTAAGGGGGCTGCAGGAGGAAAATACCCGGTCAGGTGGCCATATACCCGACCGGGTATTAACCAATTTTGGGCGCCCGAGAAGCAGAGAGGGGCCCGGGCACAGCAGTTAAATCCCCGGTCGGGGATTTTGGTGGTAGACCGGGGATTTTCACCTATTGTGGAACGGTGCGCTTCAATTATACCCGGTCGAGACCCAAAATACCCGACCGGGTATTTCGACCGGGTATCGCGAGGGCAGCTGATAAAAGCCGATTTTGTGCGTTTTTGCAAGAGAGAGCTGGGTTTTGGATCCCAAACACCCAAGGGACGAACCAAAGAGAGAGAGGGCGATTTGAGGGCATTCTCGGAGTGGAATTGGAGGATTTCTTCGCCTTGGAAGCTCGAGGAACAAGCCCGGACTTGAAGACTGATCATCTGAAGATTCTTACTGCAGTCTCTCTCTTCTCTATGGAGTAACTTCCCTTCACTTAGGTTTTGAGGAACCCTAGCTATGTTTGTTTGATTGGATGATTGTATGAGTACTCTGACTTGATAATCTTGAGTTCATATTCAATCTATGCATGTTTTCACGATTCAATTCTGCTTTAGTCGAGATTATTGATTCTGCTTTGATCCTATGAGAGCGAATACCTGATTAGGTCAATAGAGCACCATAGATTGATAGTAGTGGATCGATTGCTTTAGTCGAGGGTTGATTCACTGCTTTGTATCGATTGAGAACCTCATTCGATAGAGGGAATCTAGTTCAGAACGCCTTGATCAGTTGTTCTAGAGAAGGATACGTCCCTCTAGGCAATTGACTCAAGAGGGCCTTGTTCCTTTAGTCGAGACTCAAGGTCTAGTCAAGGATTCTCCGCATTGTGAATGAAAGTGAAACACGTTAGAGATCATCAATCGTTAATCTGGCTAGTGGCTAGGGGGAATCATACCTAAGTGAGTTCCCAACCTGTAATTAGATTAACTTTAACTGTAGTTTGCTAGAGTAGTTTTAGTTCTTTCAACTTAAGCTGTTTTGCTAGATAACGAACTGAAGCTGAGTAATAGTAACTCTAGAGACCCGTGGATTCGATATTTATTACTTGAGCCACTATACTGCAGTCCCTTTCATTGGTTACACTTGGCCATTGTTAGGAGTTGTGTTTTAGCGAGTCACTTCACGACGGGGACCCATCCTGTTTCTCAGACGCCAAAACCACTTTTCCCCGGTCCGCTCAAAATAATACCCGGCCGGGTATTTTTCTCCTCCAGCATACTTCGACCCAAACGTGCTCCTTTCGACCCGAAACTCGTTTCTTCGCCTCGATTCCAACCCCGGGCACTGAAATATGACATAAACGCACAACCTCGCGTGAAATCGGCTTAAAACACGATAATCAACCTCTCAAACGGCTCAAGAATAGGGGTAAAAACAGGTGTAATGATTTGGTGGTATCTAAACTGGTTTCAGCCATCGATCGGTCTGGAATGATTTCAAGTACAGGACAGCAGCAGGTGATGCACTGCCAGTGGTGTGAAAGCTCCCATCACACTGTGGAGGACTGTCAAGCGATAAGGGAGTCGACTACTCCCAGGAGCAGGTGGACTTCATCGGTAATGCCAGACTTTTCGACCCCTACAGCAACACTTACAACGAGGGGTGGCGCCAGCATCCCAACTTCTCCTGGGGTGGGACAAATCCTAGACCACCAGTCTCCCAGGGACCACCAGGCTTCCAGAGGCCTCCTTACCAGCATAGACAAGGGCAATTTCAGCAGCAACAACCTCTTTACCCGCGCAGACAGGGGCCAGTTCCTCCTTAGTCACAGGTGCGGCCATTTCAGCAGTGAGGTGCAGCCCTCGCAGCCCCCAGTACAGAGTGATCCGATGGTCAATTTGCGAGATCTGGTGGGTTCTCTGGCAACCTCCAGTGCGAATAAGTTCAATAATATTGAGCAGTTCATGGAGAAGGCTTCAGGTAAATTCTTGGAGCTAGAAGCTGGCCAGAGAAACACGCAGGCTATGCTGTGGGATATCCAGATCCAGCTTGGGAGTGTGGCACAAGTTGTAGCCCAGAGGACTCTTGGTACTTTACCCGGTCAGACCATCCCTCACCCGCAGGACCCAAATGAGCACTGCAAGGCCATTACTACCAGGAGTGGCAAGGTGACTACTGATCCACCTGTCCGGGCACAGGAGAGAGAGACCCTTGCTTCAGCACTTCCTGCTAACGAAGAAGAAATTGAGAAGGAGGTTGAGGTGCCTGCAACCAGTGGTGAAGGAGTATGTACCGCAACTTCCCTTTCCTACTCGGTTGCACAAAGACAGACTGGAGACTAAGTTTGCCAAGTTCATGGAAATGCTGAAGCAGGTAAACATCAGTATGCCTTCGTGGAGGCATTATCGAAGATGCCCAAGTATGCTAAGTTCATGAAGGATCTCCTCACCAACAAGAGGAAGCTTGGGGAGCTGTCGACGGTGATGCTCAATGAGGAGTGTTCTTCCATCCTGCAGAACAAGCTACCAGAGAAGCGCAAAGACCCAGGGAGGTTTACTATCCCTTGAATGATTGGTAGTTTGCATATAGGAAAGTCCTTGGCGGATTTAGGCGCTAGCATAAATGTCATTCCATATAAACTGTTTAAAAATCTAGGCCTAGGTGAACCCAGTAATACTAGGATGAGTATTCAACTTGCTGATAGATCCATTGTGCATCCTAGGGGCATTGTAGAGGACTTGATAGTCGTAGTAGGGCCATTCTCATATCCTGTTGATTTTGTGATTCTTGATATAAAGGAGGATGTGGATGTACCTTTAATACTGGGTAGACCTTTTCTCTCCACCGCCAAGGCGCTTATTGGAGTGAATGATGGGAAATTAATTTTGCGGGCTGTGGGTGAACAAATCACCTTCTCTGTTTCTGATAATATGAAACAACCCCAGCTCAATGATGATCTAGACTACTGTGATGTTATTGCTGATTTTGAGACCGCACTCGCCATCCTCGAGCGTTGTCTTTTGCTAGGGGAACAGGCATCGCAGGAGTTGCAGCAGGAGGAGCAGCTCGTGGAGCTAGACGGAGTTGCGATCGAGGGGCGAGAGAAACCATTTAAGTCGATCCCTATCTCGGCCCGGATCGCCAGATCATTGGAGGAGCCACCAGAGCTGGAGCTTAAGCCCCTCCCCTCTCACCTAGAGTATGTTTTTATCCGGGAGGGGAATAAGCTCCCGGTCATTATCAGCTCGGATCTGACACCCGAGCAGAAGAACAGGCTGGTGGCTCTGCTGCAGAAGTATGCCCGGGCCATGGCGTGGAAGATAACAGATATCAGAGGCATTAGCCCATCCTTCTGCTCCCACAGAATTCTGATGCAGGATAAGGTTAAGCTAGCTAGACAGCCGCAGTGGAGATTGACTCCTAACTTGGAGGTAGTGGTCCGGGCAGAGATTGTGAAGTTAATGGATGCAGGGATCATCTTTGCTATATCTGATAGCAAGTGGGTCAGCCCCATTCAGGTGGTCCCGAAGAAAGGCGGGATGACTGTGGTCCCGAATGAGAAGAACGAGCTGATCCCGTTGCGGACCGTGACTGGCTGGAGAGTATGCATCGATTACAGGCGCCTGAACGATGCCACCAGGAAGGACCATTTTCCCCTACCTCTCATTGATCAGATGCTGGAGTGGTTGGCTGGCCATGAGTTTTATTGCTTCCTAGATGGCATGTCTGGTTATTTCCAGATTCCTATCGCGCCAGAGGATCAGGCGAATACCACAGTCACTTGCCTCTTCGGTACTTTTGCTTAACGGAGGATTCCATTCGTCCTGTGTAATGCACCAACGACCTTCCAGAGATGCATGCTGGCGATCTTCGACCGACTGGTCGGAGAGATCGTGGAGGTCTTCATGGATGACTTCTCGGTTTACGGAGACTCCTTCACTCATTGTCTCAATAACTTGGAAATCGTTCTGAAGAGGTGCGAGGAGACTAATCTGGCACTTAGCTGGGAGAAGTGCAATTTTATGGTTCGTGAGGGGATTGTGCTCGGACACAAGATCTTCAAGCAGGGGATTGAGGTAGATCGCGTGAAGATTGAGACGATGAGCAAACTACCTCCTCCCATTTCTATGAATGGGCTCCGCAGCTTTCTGGGCACGCAGGTTTCTATAGGCGGTTTATTAAAGATTTCTCAAAAAATGCCATGCCTCTGAACAAGATACTAGAGAAGCATGCACCATTCCAGTTCACTCCTGCGTGCACAGCTCCATTTGATACATTGAAGGAGAAGCTTACCCATGCGGTCAGAGCAGTTATGGGCCAGAGACGCGATAAGCACTTCCAGCCCATCTACTACGCGTCGAAGACCTTGAACGATGCACAGGAGAATTACACCAC